GGTTGAAGACCTCCACGACGGAGCACCCAGTGGGACTGATTTGGCTGGCCAGTGGCCAAGGTAGATTCGCCGAGAGAATCCAAGAGGATTCATCGTGGGCCAAAGAAGAGAACCAGGGCTACTCAAAGTGCGCACCGTAGAGCATCCTGTGTCTTCAGAGTAACCCCCCGTATGATTGTTTATATATTTATTTATGGTGATGGTTAATATATATATATATATATATATATATATATATATATATATATATATATATATATATATATATAATCAGAGCATGTGTATCCCTCCCCCTTTAATTTAACTTGCGTTACGGAACACATCCATTGAAAGCCTCTACTGGCTTGGGGCCGGATTCCCGAATTCTAATAACACCAGAAAAGAACCAAAAGAGAGACAACATGAGCTAAAAGTATTGCGATTAAGTGGTCGGAGGCAAACAACGGACACAAGTATTTTCGATCCGGTATGGAACATCAAAATGGTCCCGAAGTTCTACGAGAAGCAAATTTCGAAGTTCTTCGCGGCCTTCGAGAAAGTCGCAGCCTCTTTGGAGTGGCCAAAGGAGAATTGGGCTATCATGGTACAGTCCGTCTTGACTGGGAAGGCCCAAATCGCCTACTCCACGTTGTCCCTTGATGACTCCGGCGATTACGACAAGGTGAAGAAGGTAGTGCTCATGGCTTACCAATTGGTACCTGAGGCTTACAGGCAGAAGTTTAGAAACCTGAAAAAGACCTCGGAGCACACGTTCACCGAATTCGCAACAATCAAGGAACGACTTTTCCAAGAGTGGTGTGCATCTTGGAAGGTGGAGACCAAAGAAGACCTCGAGCAGCTCATACTGTTAGAGGACTTCAAAGACTGTCTGTCTGGAGATCTAAAGACATACCTAGAAGAGCAGCAGGTGGAGACCTTAAGTGCAGCAGCCACTATGGCTGAAGAGTACATCTTGACACATAGGTCTTCCACTATGTATGTCACGAAGAATTACCCTCGTCTGTTTGGCAAGCCTCGTCAGGAAGAGGAGAGACCCGTCCCACAAAGCGCTAAGAAAACGCCCCCAAGTAGCCCTCGAAGGACTAGTCCTAACAGTCCGAAACACCGTAGTCCAAGGAGGAATATGGTATGCTGGACTTGTGGGCAGAAAGGGCATGTAGCTGCTATGTGCTGAGGCAGAAGAGGTAGCGGCCCACGTAGGGAGGTGATGTTGATGGACTGTGTGACACCACCTGTAGGAAGCCAGTCTATGACTAGTCAGGAAGGACCAAGATTGTTTGCCCCTCACACTTCAGGCGGGTATGTATCGAGTGATCATACTGGTAGATCAGTTGTAGTGCTCAGAGATAGTGGAGCAGCCCAGTCCCTGATCATGAGAAACTCGTTACCCGAGGGAGTGAGTGTGGACGGGAGACAAAATGTTGTCCAGGTTGGGTTTCCTAGGACGCGGTACGTTGCCCCCTTAGAGCCGGTACATCTAGACTCGCCTTACTTCAGCGGCCCGTGTGAGTTGGCAGTAGTTGATACCTTGCCTATAGCTGGGATTGACGTGATACTAGCCAACGACCTGGTGACAGGTTGGGATTACAAACATCTCAAGGTTGTGGACGAGTCAGCCGGAACAGCAAGGTCCAAGGTAACAGCAGGAAATGGTAATATCCAGGTACAGGCAGACGGACTATATAACTTGTTTAATCCTTCCTCTCGTCTACAAATTGATAGCATTCTAGCTGAGTCTCCTGATTCTTCTCCCGACAAGAAGCATGAGGTTATGGTGGCAGAAGCGACTGAGCAAGAAGAGAGGCCTCGTGTACAAGCACCCACGGATACCCAAGAGTCTGGAGTGAAGGCAGATGAGTACTTGCGGTATGGCAAAGTACCATGTATACTGAACCGGCCAGAGATTCCCCAGACGTCGGAGGTATGTGAGGTATGTACGAAGGTTCTAGTGCCCTCTTCGGTCCAAACCAGGCTAATGGATATAGCCGGCTATGGACATTACAGGCTCATGAAACTTATCCCTCAATTAGCCAACTGTTTCTTAGCAGTATTTTGTCTTCTTCTCGTGTGTGTTCTCAGTAAGGACCAGTGGACGCCCCGACAGATGATGGCTCTCATAAACATCGCGAAGAGATCCCAGGGATTAGAGACGTGCACTGTGAGTGTTGCAGTCAAAGAAGGGACCTGGAAGGTGATGGTAGATACAGGAGGTATGGGAAAGGAAATTATGAGTAACTGTTTCCAACAGGTTGACACTCCCCGCGTGATTGCCGAACCTGGATGTAGCGTTATGCGGAACGTTGGTCGACCTGACGGTGGCGGAGCGAATACCATCTTCGTTGTACAAGCAGCTCTGTTGGGACTAGGTGTGGGCCTAGTAAACGGTGGTGCTTTAAGTACTGTTTTAACAACTATCGCTCTCACTCTAAATTATCAGACCCCTGTATTCCAGGTTCCCGTCTCCCTGAAGGACTACCGGACTGGTACCAGAAATGCCGTCTGTGACCAGCCATCAATGGTGCCACGACACAGGGAGGTGTCGATTCATCCCAGATCGCGTCTATACCGATCCTTACTCAAGGCACATGAGATTATGCCCCTGCTTGACATCTCAGTGAAGGTGTGGAAAATCACATTAGGCAGGTCATTGCCTTCCATCTGCAAGTTTCCTTTGTGCCAGAGTTTCTCATTAGGACAGTTCTGTGGACAAGACATCCTTGCCACTCCAGTTCATAGTGTACATGAGTCCATTTGGAATTGTACCCACGTACTAATTTGGTTTGTTTTTTCTTTTATAGAAACCCAAACCAAATTCTTTTTGGTGGGGAGGTGTTACGGACCCGAGTCCAGCGTTGTAGCACGGAGCAGTGACGACAACGCCATCTGTGAGTCTGCTCCCGAAACCCCCTCCAAATGGACAGCGCCATCTAGTGAGGACGGGATATACCGGCCACAGGTGCTGGATTCCCGTCTTAATCAGCTTGTAACATAGCCGCTGCTGACCTTTGGTGAGGTGGCGCTTAGACAGCAACGCCATCTATGGAGTGGATAGGTGGACGTTTGTGTCTAAGCCTGTAAGCGAGGTTCTCTAGTACTAATGACGTATCTGATTACAGAGTCGACCTGGGACTGCTGCATTGGATGATGGATCAGTCTACCCAAGGCAGCCAAAGTCTCTCCACGCGTTTGCTCTGAAGCTGTGAGCCACCCCCGGACGAACACTGTTGAGAGTGTTAGCCTGCCTGTGACGTGGCAGTATCAGGAATCGTCGTATCTGGGGCTGGCTGGTGAAAGAGACTAGCCACTGTGGTGCTTAGAGAGGAGAGTGATCAGCGGGATCACACGAGACTCCTGCCTAGGGCTCGCAACCCTAGTATCGGTCGTGGAGTGGCCCACACAGCGGAGCTGATCGGAACCTGCCAGCTACAGGCTGGATTGTGGTTGAAGACCTCCACGACGGAGCACCCAGTGGGACTGTGATTTGGCTGGCCTGTGGCCAGGGTAGATTCGCCGAGAGAATCAAACGGGATTCATCGTGGGCCGAAGAAGAGAACCAGGGCTACTGAAAGTGAGCATTGTGGAGCATCTTGAGTCTTTGGAGGAAGACAAGTCATTGTACATTTGTGTATTTATAACCCCTGTGTGACTGTTTATATATTTATTTATGGTGGTGGTGTAATATATATATAAATCAGAGCATTTGTATCCCTCCCCCTTTAATTTAACTTGCATTACAGAACACATCCCTAGAAGGCCTCTACTAACTTGGGGCCGGATTCCCAAATTCTAATAACACCAGAAAAGAACCCGGTTACGCCCCGTAACATCCACCCACAATAATTGGCGATTTCCAGGGACGATTTTTCCCGTTACCAGACGATTGCTGTCAAGACATGGATCAAATGTGTAGGAATGAGGTGTGTCTCACAGCCTGTAAGGATTCGCAACATGGGAGAACGGACATAACACGATAATGGCAGCCGCTGCCATCTTTTCTTTAAGGTTCCTGTTACCTGTGTGCTACCTCACGCCTGGTCCAGGTAACTATTCAATTGTTATTATTCGTCAGGAATTGGGCTGGTCCAGCAAGGGTGATAATTACTGATTGTTAACTGTTTACCTCCCTTCAACTGTGGACTTTAACTTAGTTAAGTTCATGTGGGTTGCAGTAAATTTACTTGTTATCTTGAATTTAAGCTTTGTTAAGTACTGTATTGTTGCAGTACCTACTGCATTATTTACTGTAGTTAGGTTGGTTTCCAGCGAGGCCTAATTACAGTTATTCGTTAATTACAGGTTATACATTATCATTTATTTCAGTTATTTCACTTATAATAATACTTTATATTTACCACCTATTATTTACTTATCATCTGACTTTTACTTGTATTAAGTGGATTATACTTTTACTTATTTTAATAAAATTCAACGATTGCTTCTATTACTTAATTAATTAACTAATTAATTATTAGTTTTTGCCCAGTGCGAGTATTAATCACCCTGCCCAATTGGGGGGACCTTTGACAATTCGCCAGCTTCTTGTCCTCTTCGTTAATTACCCTTGTTAAACATTCCAATTTATAATTATAATTAATTTAATTATATTAATGGACGATTTAATTATAATTAATGTTGTAGATTAATTATAATTAATACTATTATTTTAATGGACGATTTAATTATAATGTTGCAGATTAATTATAATTAATATTATTATATTAATGGACGATTTAATTATAATAAATATTGTAGATTAATTATATTTAATATAATTATATTAATATCATTAAAATAATAATTAAATTTACTAATAAACTTTGAGTGATAATTAGGTGATGCCATTATTCGTATGAAGTATATAAACGATTTCTGCATATTTAAGTGTTTCAAATCACTAGAATAGATTATTTATAGTGGTTTGTGATTATTGATTTCTAGACTAATTTCTCCTTTCGATACCTGTGTGAATTTATGTAAACATGTGAGAGTTGTTTTGACCAATGAGAAGCGTTGTTACAAAGCGTCTTTACGTTCATGATCTAACCCAATACTACGACAACAACAAGAGCGACGTTGCCATTCTGCATGACAACAACAAAAGCGACGGTGCCATTCTGCATGACAACAAAAGCGACGTTGCCATTCTGCACGACAACAACAAAAGCGACGTTGCCATTCTGCATGACAACAACAAAAGCGACGGTGCCATTCTGCATGACAACAACAAAAGCGACGGTGCCATTCTGCATGACAACAACAAGAGCGACGTTTCCATTCTGCACGACAACAACAAAAGCGACGGTGCCATTCTGCATGACAAAAAAAGCGACGTTGCCATTCTGCACGACAACAACAAAAGCGACGGTGCCATTCTGCATGACAACAACAAAAGCGACGGTGCCATTCTGCATGACAACAACAAAAGCGACGGTGCCATTCTGCATGACAAAAAAGCGACGTTGCCATCCTGCACGACAGCAACAAAAGCGACGGTGCCATCCTGCACGACAACAACAAAAAAGCGACGGTGCCATTCTGCACGACAACAACAGAAGCGACGGTGCCATTCTGCACGACAACAACAGAAGCGACGGTGCCATTCTGCACGACAACACAAAAGCGACGGTGACAACAACAAAAGCGACGGTGCCATTCTGCACGACAACAACAAAAGCGACGTTGCCATTCTGCATGACAACAACAAAAGCGACGGTGCCATTCTGCACTATTCAAGAAACTTGTGCGTAAATGAATACATTTCCTTGATTGTACTAAGGTCATTCCTACATGCTATTCCCGCCTCCACACTCCACTCTCCTTCCCCCAAGTCTCCACACACACACTCACCCTCTGTGGCGTGTGGAGTGCGTGGTTGTGCTTGAGTGCGTGTGAGTAAAGATTCAGTGTTGTTGTTGTTGTTTCAGATTTAGCTACTCAGAACGAAGTGTCCATGTAGCACGGGCTATGGTGAGCCCGTAAGATTCAGTGTTTTTGGCAGCCTTAAGTGCGTTTCCGTGGTTCCAAGGTTACAATGATCGCATCATACAAGTTACACAATAGTGAGTGGAACCACACACACACACTCTGCATTCACAGTTCACTGGCAGGAACCGTGAATACAGTGTGCGGTTCCACACTCTTTTGCCGAGCTAAGGGGCTAGAAAAAGGAAGCTGTTTGTTCTAGTTTCGTGTTGTTTCGATGAGCTTAGAACCCAGATCCTTAAAAAGAAAATAGTGCCACTTCCAACTCAAGGCACCAAGTATATCCGAAACAATGAAGGCAAAATTGTAATGGTGATCCAGTTTTCTGTACTTACAATGCAAGTCCATTTGTTTCATCCTCGGCCTGAGATCGAACCCGGGTTCTTAGGACTACAACCCCCGAGCGCTGACTACTCAGCCGCGAGGCCCCTGTGTGTGTACATGTGTGTGTGTTGCACTCGCATTAGTCGTTAAGATGGAAGTCTCGTTCAAACCCCACACTCACACCTTGACAAAGCACTCAAGACAATACGAAAGACTTGCTGTAAATCTTTTCACAAATACAAAAATGTAGGGTTATTATCCAATTTTCGTGAGTGCTTTCGTGTTCATCAAAAAACATTTTAAGAATGTTTTGGACGACGCAGGATCTAATGATCCTACACTATACATGAGAAGGTAAGATAATATATAATTGATGAACTCCTAGGTAATGGTCAGGCCAATTTTACACTGTTCTCAATTTTTTTTAGGAAAGGCTGCGTTCATGGCCCCTGAGAGGCTCAGTAGTAATATTAATGTTTGTGACCTTTGATCTTTTATTAATCTGTCCTTAAAACTAATAAAACTTCACTCGAGGAGGTCTTTACAGTCAACGTTTTTTTTAAATAACTTGATCTCTTGTTATTATTCTTAATGATCTTTATTGCTTAAAATATTACCCATGTGAAGAAACCACAAGGCCGTGATCGAGGTTCGAACCTACACGAGGGTTCGTGTAGTGGAGTGTATTACCCGTGTGTTGCGTTAGCTCCTGGGCGCCAAACCAGGCTATATAAATATATTCAAATGTCTATCGGACTATTTGGCTGGTTCGGTAACAGGGTTGTTGATTTGTGGAACCAATTGCCGCGTAACATGACTGAAGTGGGGTCCGTTGATTGTTGAACACTTTGGCGCTCCGTGGAAACTCGCGGTTGACAAGGGGTAGGTAGCCCCTCCGTGTGGGTAAGCGCGCGGTGACACCCAAATGTGTATACTCGTTCCAGCTTTCTCACCTTAATTCTTGTGCTGCGTCGCTCGGTTTGGTATCATTGTGTTCGCAATTAAATTCTCTACAGGTGTGTATAAATATAATGTCCAAAAGCCTAGCGTGACTCCCAACAGCAAAGCCTAAAGTCGGCAAAAACGCACAAAATCAGTAACATGTGCATTCTCGTTCCATTTTTTTACCTTAATTCTCGTGCTACGTCGCTCGTTTTGGTATCATTGTGTTCGCAATTAAATTCCCTACAGATGTGTATGAATAAAATGTACAAAAGGCTGGAGTGCCTCCCCGCAGAAAAGCCTAAAGTTACCCATGAACGAGCACCATTTTGTACATTGCAACCTAATGTTCAACTCGTTCAATTTGATAACATCAAATGTCGTGCTACGTCGCTCATTTTGGTATCAAATTGTTCGCAATAAAAGGCGATTATTTTAAAACTAGTCCCAGAATAATAGAGCAATAACTGGATTTTTAACAAATATTTTAATTCTGGACGCTCATCATCACAAATTTATTTATATCTTTCCAGTGTTCTGACATAAATATTTGTGTTACATCTTTCATTTTGGTATCAAATTGTTCGCAATAAAAAGGCGCGCATTTTAAAACTAGTCCCAAGATAATAGGACAATAAATAGAATTTTAACAAATATTTTAATATTCGGACCATAGGCCTATTTATAATATTTCAAGTGTTTGGACATCAAGTTTCATGTTATATCTTTGATTTTGGTATCAAATTGTGTGCAATATAAAGGCGCTTATTTTAAAACCACTACCAGATTGATCTGATAAAATTTAAATTTTTAAAAAATATTTTAATGAGTGACTCAGTACTGCGTCATTGGAACACATTCAGTAGAAAAATGAATGACTTAATAGTCAGTCTGTGGAACGCGAAAGTGATTTTCGTAGGGTGGACGTATATATGAATGAGATTGGGTGGATACAAATAGGAACTGCCTCGTATGGGCCAACAGGCCTTCTGCAGTTACCTTTGTTCTTATGTTCTTGTATTTAATCCCAAAGCGTCTGGCTTCCAGCCTCGTACAGACATTTTAATATATATTCATTCATGTGATATTATTACTTCTCTAAACAGGAATTCGAAGTCAAAAGATTTGTCTTTATGTTAGATATTATTTGTAATAATTTTATTTAATATATTTTAATATTAATATTAACATATTTTAAATATGTATTTATGTTATTTTTTCATACACACACATACACACACACACACACACACACACACACACACACACACACACACACACACACACACACACACACACACACACACACACACACAACACACAAACACACAGGAACAACACACAAACACACAGGAAAACCGTCCGTTGCAGCTCTCTACTACGGCTGACCGACTGCGAACTCAAAGTAACCTATTTACTGCTAGATAACATACAAATAATACAACATACAAATACTCGTGAAACCAGATAATAGAGACGAGAGGTTGGGAGTCCCTAAATGTCTTCCCTGCAAGAGTTTAAACTAATCACGTATTCACCAACTAATTGAAAAGATTCAGGCGACTGCAGAGGACTGTCATATTGGCAACACGTGCATGTGTCCCTGTATGCAGATGAGCTGCAGTTTCCTCTATCCATCATGCAGACCTTCATTTAAATGTGGGGGAATTTGGGGAGGAAATTCTATGTAATATTCTGTAATAGAAAATATTCATTAATTGTATTTTCACTCTTCTAGCATTTAATAGACATTGAGGAATATATATGTGTATGATATAAAGGTTATTCAACACAGAATAATATAGTAAAAGGCATAATAAATATTAACAGTCTGTCTAACGGGAATGACGCAAATGTTGACCAGACCACACACTAGAAGGTGAAGGGACGACGACGTTTCGGTCCGTTTTGGACCATTCTCAAGTCGATTGTGATTCTCAAGTCATTCTTCAGCCACGTTATTGTGACTCATCGCCTGCAATGATGTAAATCTTCTTTCGTGAGAGATATGCAAGAATGATATAAAGATAGATTCCAATCTCATTTATTTACGTCTGGAAAGCTTGACTCATCGCGAGCCGGGCTGTAGCGAGTTACCAGATACTTAATATTCATCAGATGAAACCTTCATTGAAATTAGCCAACGAAGAGCAGTTACATTGATAAGTCGTTAAATTGATCATTGGTGATAGTATTTTGTGATGTTGAAAAGGTTAAAGCGTGAATCAACGTTTAAGGACGTTGAACTGACGTTATCAACGCAGTCGACGTCATCGGCGTTGATCCAACGTCAATAGTGGCTTAACAATCTGTTCAGACACACTATGGACAATCAAAAACATTTTTCAGACTTCATAGATCCTTCATAAAAAAGGAAACCAAAACGTCGACCCCAGATAGCCTATGACACTCCCCAAATACTCACAAGTCACTATGCAAAGCTTCGTGAGACTAGCCCCTAGCCTCTGGTCTCCAACCTTGACCACGACAATCTCTCTCTTATTGATATTGATGGAAATTCCTCTCTGTCAGCTCGTCTGTTCAATGTTCAGTGGCCAGAGGAGTGGGAACGGATGTGATTGGGCAAAGGGGGAGAATGGCAGGAGGGAAAGGAGTGGGGTAGGGATGGTGGGGGGGAGGGGGGGAGGGGGGGGAAGTTGGGGTTTCAAGGAAAATTTAGAGCGTTTGTGTGTGTGTATTTCAACAAATATTACAACAAATGTAATACATGAAGCTCTTTCTTCATGTATTTATAACGTTCATTATGAGACATTTCTCATAATTCATCACTTGTTAATTACTCCGTGATTCACAAAACACACACACACACACACACACACACACAATACACACACACACAAACACACACACACACACGCACACGCACACACACACACAAACACACACACACACAAAACACACACACATATATATATATATATAGATATATATATATATATATATATATATATATATTATATATATATATATATATATATATATATATATATATATATATATATATATATATATATATATATATATATATATATATATATATATATATATATATATATATATATATGTCGTACCTAGTAGCCAGAAGGCACTTCTTTGCCTACTATGCAAGGCCCGATTTGCCTAATAAGCCAAGTTTTCATGAATTAATTGTTTTTCGACTACCTAACCTACCTAACCTAACCTAACCTAACTTTTTCGGCTACCTAACCTAACCTAACCTTTAAAGATACGTTAGGTTAGGTTAGGTAGGGTTGGTTAGGTTTGGTCATATATCTACGTTAATTTTAGCTCCAATAAAAAAAAATTAACCTCATACATAATGAAATGTGTAGCTTTATCATTTCATAAGAAAAAAAATTAGAGAAAATATATTAATTCAGGAAAACTTGGCTTATTAGGCAAATTGGGCCTTGCATAGTAGGCTGAGAAGTGCGTTCTGGCTACTAGGTACGACATATATAATATATATATATAT